TGTGCCTATTTGATCTGACCCAGACCTTCCTTTATTTCCTCTCACCTTAAGTCCATTTACCTGTTTCTTCTCGTGAGAACCAGCCTAGAGCTGGCCAGATCTGCTTGGGAAGAGACCCCTGGATCAGTTTCGTCTGTCTCCTGCACCAGGTGCAGATCCTTCCCCGGCACGCACAGCGCAGAACAATGCCAATCCATGTGTCGCAAAACCTTGTACACACGACATAGGACCTCCCCTGGGGTTGTCTACTTGTACAAGTTTCCCCTCTGAACACCAGTGCGGAGATGATTAGACAGAGCAAAGGAGAAGACATGATATAAAGAAGAAAAAAACCACTTGCCCCTCTTTTTGCAGATCACTGGCTGGTTTGTGTACTGGGAGCACTCTTTTGTTCCTCTCTCCATTCACTCATATTCACAATGGCTGCAGCGGAACAAGCCAGCCACCACAGATCAGAAGTTACCTCCTTTCTTGCTCCTTTTCCAAATCTTATTCCTGGTAAGCACTCGAACCACTTATCAACTTATCTCTAGTTCAGAGTTCCAGGATGGTCAATTGAATCTGTTTCACCCGGTTTTCCATGCTTTCACTGACGGGGGTCTGCATGGCATTTCTGCCTAGTCTGCCATCAACCCTATATATTCCAGAGTGTGAAAAGCATTATAGAGACACAACATGAAGGAAATAAGATAGTCACTAACACTGTCGCTGCTTCAACGAGCTACATATTTCAACCTAGTTTCTTTCCTCTACTGTTTTTTTCTTTTGTATCTGATAATCATACAGCCTATCTCCCTTGAAGAGGTTTTAAAAGAGGAGAAGTTAAAAGATTGGGAAGACTCACATTCTTTCTCATTGGCTACTGTTTGAAAAGAGGCTCCTGGTTTTTGATTTTTTGGGGAGGTTCTTCCTATGTCATCTGATTCAAATAGGTCTGCTTTCAAAGAAAACAAATCAAAATTGTCAAGATCTGTGAAGCATGAAAAATAAATTGCTTTTTCCAACTCCAAAAAGCACCAGAAATGAATTAATTCCTACCTTCTTACACAAACATCTAACCCCTATTCTCTAATCTATGGACTCTACAAAATGTTTATATATGTTGTATAAAATACATGACAAGAGATCAAACCCTATTACAAAGATATTGAATTTGTAATACAACTAATATTTAAATAGTGTTGTTTTTAGTTTGACTAAACACATATGAAATACACAAGTAGCATAACATAAGTTCTTGGGACTGCCAGTCTGAAATAAACCGTCAGCTAAGACCTGTCTACCATGCAGTTAATGGCCTTGTTCTTTTAGCTGGTGGGAGAATGAACAGGTTTCATAAAAGAAAAAATGAGGTCGTAGAAAAGACAGCCTTGCAAAATGTTGTCAGATGTGAAATATCCTGTCATAAGCTTTTGCATTGAACTACAGCAGTGAGACTACTTCTAATATTTCCCTTCTTTTTAATACAAAAGAAACCTGTATTTCCATGCTTGGATTTCTGAATGTAACTTAATTTGGTGGTTAAGTCTCATGAAGCACTTGTTCTTAACATTTAAAAAAAAAAAAAAAAAGACACTTGTGGTTTTGCAGCTTTTGGATAAAGTGGTAGGTAGTCATCAGATTCCTGTTGAGAACTATAAATGACGAAAGAAAGAGCAGATGGCTTCAGAAGGGAGAGATTTATAGTGGCAATTTGTAGTAGAATAATACTATTTTCTAAGCAGAGTAATAATAATTCACAAAGACAAGTAAAAGTTAACATCTCACTTAATTACTTGTTACTAAATATGCCAAGAAATCTTTCACTCAGAAGTCAAGATGGTAAACCTGCTCCGCTGATATTTTTAGGTTCTGATTCCCTGATCCTATTAAAATCCTTATTTTCATATTGAAGTCCTTTATTACAGGATTAAAAACATGTGCCTCTAACAATCTAGTTTTCTGACTACAGTGTCTTTGTTCAATTTAGTTAGTATCTGATACATTCAAAAGGATAAAATAAAAATTGCCTTCCTCTACAAGGAAACAGGGAGTCCTGGTGTGGCACTGTGGGTTAATATGCCAGACTGCAAAGCCATTTGAACCACAAGGTTGGCAGTTCAAGCTCACCAGCTGCTCCTCAGAAACCCTATACAGGGTTGCTATGGGTCAGAACCGATTTGATGGCACTTAGCAACAAGGAAACAGGGAGTCCTGGTGTGGCACTGTGTGTTAATGCACCAGACTTCAAAGGCGTTTGAACTGCAAGGTCGGTGGTTCAAGCTCACCAGCTGCTCCTCGGAAACCCTGTACAGAGTCGCTATGGGTCATAATCAACTCAACAGCACATAACAACAACAAGGAAACAGACTTAACAGTTTTCTCATAATCCAAGGTAACTGTGTAAAAGGAAGGGTTGTATTTCATACTGAGTCTCTCTCCTAAGAGGCCCCAAACAGGCTGGGTGAGCATAGTCCATGGGAACAAACTCATGTAGATAAGGACATCCACAATGACACTGCTCTGTAAATGGGTCTATAAATTGTTGGGGACAGTCTTACCTACTTGCCAAAGATAATCAAAGAGAATGAGGCATGAATCTACTATGTTCATAATTCAGCCACAATACGACTCGATAGCATTTAACAACAACAACAACAACATCTGTGGTACTAAAAGGAGGAAATTATTTTAAATATCAGAATATTCATTATTGAAGTGAATTAAGTTTCCAAGCCAACTTGGCATTTCATAACGGTCACAGAAGTAGTAAGTTATGGAAATTAGAGGGTGGAATGAACACATCAAATTTACCTTACGTTCTTCTTGCTTAGTAAGAGTGAATGGAAAATGACAATAGCTAAGGAGTACTACCATTTTACATAAGAAAGCACCCTAATTTATTAATAAAAATACCTAACTATACAAATTGTGCTTCTAATTCCTAGGGTCACAATTCAATTCAGAAGAGTCTATTGTCATTCAATAGGGCAAAAGTTCTCCTTGCTGATGTGGGATATCACAAATGCACCCCAACTTTAGACAAAAAGAACAAAAGAAAAAGCAATTCCACTGGGGACTCAACCTGCAATGTGTGGGATACACTAAGATACCACTTTAAAAACAGATTCCCTAACCTTGAGATATTAACATGACTCTTACACAGACACACAAACACACTCATATATGTTTTTATATTTATTAATAAAAATGATCCAGAAAAACATTGTGTCAAAATTACAAAATGTTACATATTAGATTGTTTTCAGTTTTATTGTTTCTAGGACACTGTAGGCCAGACCAGAATGCTGCCTTTATTTGCTCAAATAGAACATAAATCACACCTTTCAAGTTGTAAATTACAATAAGAAACCTTTCTCTTTCCTCTTGTCAAAAATAATAATAATATGGTGGAGATCTTCATTGTACTTGCAAGCCTGGTTTCATTAAGAGCTGTGTGCACATGTAATATGACAAAGTAGAGGGGAGGGTGGAGGGAGAAGTTTACAAAAAAGTTAAAAAACAAAAATGCAAAATAGGTAATAAGGGTTGGTGAGGAGGAAGATATTAAACTCTCTAAGAATCATTCACCGAAGTAATCTTCCAGTCCCTCCATGTCTATTTCCAGGGAGGAATTTAAAGAGGCCAGAGCAGAGGATACATCCTTGGTTTTCTGAACACTTGGTTTTGGTTGAGGAGCTTCTGGTTGGATAGATTCCTTCTTGATGTCTTTTCCACCGTTTAGAATCCGCTGGCTCTCAAAGAAGAACTGATTAGGATGATTCAGGGAAAAGCCACAATCATCAACCTGTACAAAGAAGCAAATTTATATTGCATTAACAGAAAAACTATATGGTTTCTAAGGCTGAAATCTTCAGAGGGGCAGAAAGTCGCATCTTTTTCCTATGGAGTAGCTGGTGGATTTGAACTCCAGCCCAATGGCTAACCCACCTTAGAAAGTGCCCTGGCCCTCACTTAAAATCAATTTAACGTCTGAAATACGGATTTCCCTTACAACATTCATTCCACCACTTACTGTATTTTATTAGGAGTGAACTTCAACCTACCAAAACCTTAATGACTCCCAAATTCATGTTTCCAGCCTAAACTTAACTTCCTACCCAATTCTAGTTCCATTGTTGCTGTTGTTAAGTGTCATCCAGTCAATTCCAACTCACTTCTACCCTGTATAGTTTCCAAGGAATAGCTAGTGGGTCTGAACTGTCAACCTTGTGGTTCAAAGTACAGTGCCACACCAGAAGTCCAAACTTGACTTCCTAACCAATTCTAGTTTCATATCCAACACCTACTTCAACATCTTGAATGGCTTAAGGGCAGCTCAAACTCAACATGAAGCTCACCCTTCCCCCTGTTCTCTGCCCTTCGCTTTCAGTTACTGGTGTTAAAATTCAGTCTGTGGCACATACGGGAACCTCCCAGCCCCTACACACCCTTTTCTAACCCATGCTCTCTTTTCTGGTCATATCCAAACCATCATTAACCTCAAAATGAAAAGCTGGAAAAATTAATAAAAAATCATTTGGAAACACATTTCTATGTGTGTTTGGGTATGCTACAGTGTGTCCTAATGTAATGATTTTGATAAATCCTATAGAAATTTATTTAACGTTGTTGAACCTCATCTTTCCCAATGTTTTTTATTCTGGACTATTTTTGTAACCCCAGAGTTGATGCCCATAACCAATATGCTCCTTTTGTCTATTTCAATAATTTTGTACTGTAGTCAATCATTAAAATGTGTAAATCTTGACCAACTTCTGGTGTTTTCTATTAGGTTGTGATATAACAGCACAATTATGCATTAAAGGATGGTTTTCTTAAAGTGTGACTCTCCTGCATCAGTCACTGTTTTCATATTCAATCAGTAGATCTACTAAGTTGATTCCATGTCAAAGCCAACCTAACCGAAATTCCCACCTTCTCCTGCCTTGAGCAGTTGAAGCTGACAACAAAAATAATAGCATTTTGTTTGCTGTTGTTGTTAAGTGTCCAACAGACAGTGACCCTGTATAAGGTTTCCAAGGGAGTGGCTGATGAGCTTGAACCGCTGACATTAGGGTTCAAAGTTACTATCCTTTTTATAAGAGGTATTTTCAGTTTATATCTTCCAGAAATGGAGAAGCGATTACTTCTGCTCACCTGTTTTATATTATCAACCTTTGCACATTGTACTTTTCTTTATACTTCCGTGCCATACACACAGTAGGAATCTAATAAATATCTGGTAAGTTAAGTCCAGAGCTAGCCAGTTTACATTAGTCATACATATCACATATTAATTGAAGACTTACTGCGTACATGAGTTTGTAGCTTTCAGCATACATGCAGTTGACTAAGACTAACTAAAGGAATCTCCAGTCTAGTAAGATATATGCTTAAAAACTACTATCAAGAATGGGAAAGTGGTAGGGGTCACAGATAAAGGCCTACTACAAACCAGAGTAGAGAGAAATTCTGGCTGGGAAGATCAAGGAAGGCTTTGTGAAGAAGTGTTATTTGAGTTGGGTCTGGAAAGATGGTAAGAGCGCACAGCTGGATACCAGTAAGAAAGGGCATTACAAACAGCGGGGCCTCTTCAGCAATGTAAAGAGGGAAAAGTCCAGGCAAAGTAAGTAGTTCAGATAGCCTGGTGTGAAAGTCACAGAAAAGGAAATAATAGGAAATAAGGTTGGAAAGACAGGCTGAGGCCAGACCTCTATTGTTAAGTGCCATTGAGTCGGTTCCGACCCATAGCGACCCTGTATAGGGTATCCGAGGAGCAGCTGGTGAGCATGAACTGCCAACCTAGAGGTTCACACCGATTTTGCAGTCCTGTACATTAACCCACAGTGCCACAACTACTAAAAGTCTGGACCTAATTCCATAGGCAACAGGGAGACATGAAGGAGTCTTACTTCAGGAAGTAATGTGATTAAGAATAATGGTTACTATTAAGATATATTAAAATGGATTCCTTGGCTGTGTGCCACCGAACAGGTTCTGACTCATAGAGACCCTGTATAGGGTTTCTGAGGCAGTAAATCTTTATGGGACCAGAAAGCCTCATCTTTCTTCTACAGAGCAACTGGTAGATTCAAACTACTGGCCTTGTGGTTAGTTCAGCTTGTAAACCACTACGTTACCAAGAGAAAAACGAGTAGCTGTCGTGATCCAGAATAAACACTCTGGAACAGGTAGACCAGTAAACAGAAACATGATCTCTTCTGGAATACATACTTGTACTTCAGGATTCTCTTCAGTCAACTGCTGATACAATTTAGGCCGTAATTTTACAATAACTTGAGTATATAGATTTATAGTATATACACTAATCATTTTAAACATTATTGCCCAGGTCCATAAGAACACATTTTTATCTCCTCCTTTGCTGCTTAATTTCAAAACATTTCCAAATTTTTGTGGGATACAGTTATAATTTTAATAACTATGGAGTCATTTTTTATTCCCTCTATTATATTCAATTTTTATCCAATTCATTAAAGCCTTGGAGATCCAATATAAACTTTGCATTTTTAAAAGTAAATTTATTGCTTAATTCTGCTTTTCAGTCGGAATGCAGTATAAATTGAGAACAATAAAAATTGGTAGACTCTTGGGGATCCTTCAAGTTGAATCTCCTCTATGTATAATCAGGAAAATGAGTTCTAGAGTTATTACGTATTTTGTTACTAAGTTCTTCTGTATGAATTTGAATTCAGGCCTTTTGACTAAATTATTTAGTTGATATAAAATACGTTTTAAGATGATTAATTCAATGTCAAATACATTAAATTGACAATGAGACCGTCATTAGAAATCTAAACATAAGCTTTCTTAGAGCTAAACTCTGCTATAAAAATTATAGAATACATGATAGTATGATTTTAGATTAAAAGAATCTAGCACCTTGTACTATTACATATTAGAGGTTTGCTTCAAGTTGTTTACGTTCACAATACATCTATTATCATAAAACATGACTCGGTGAATTTAAAAGTTAAACTATTACTTAAATGCAGGCAAATTTAAATATTATCAGCTTTATAAGCCTCAGTTTTCTCATCTATGAAATGGAGATAATGACCATGCCAGCAAGGTGCTAGAAGAAAATCACAGAAATAAGAATGTTAAAAAAAATAACTGTTGTTCCATGAAATTTAAATTAGATGCTTTGGAAAGACTCAAGAAAGGTTTACAAGAAGGTGAATTCCCTAAAAGAATAGGGGGAAATATCATATTGCATTAAAGTATCATTATGTTCCTTTTCCACTTTAAAAAAACCCAAACTGGAACTTGGTGGTGGTGTATTATGGGTATGGTTTATGAAATGAAGTTACAATCAGTGAAACTATATTTAAACCAAAGAACTCACCCCTTACTTAAAAATATTAGCAAATAAATGGCATTTAAACATTTAAACTTTCAAATACCATGTTTAAGGAATGTGCAATTTTTTTATGATTCTCTATTTTACATACTAATTTTTATTTGTTAACCAACTAAAACAGTGACAAATGCCTTGGACAAAAGAACTTAATAGCATGATTCTTTATGATGTTATGTTTCTGTACTTCTCTTTCTTGTGTCTGCAATTTCTTTTTTAACTCACTCTGTTATTTCTTCCTTTTTGACCTCACTTTATGGGACTTGGGTCTATTAAATTGCTTGATAACATGATGAAATTATGAGGAGTTTCCTCTGTTTAGGAATTATATTTTCTTCCAAGATGGGTTCTTTGTCTTTTGAGTGCTTTATTTTATTCTTTCTCTTTTATTTTTGACTCAAGGAAGTGTGCATGATTGTCACTCAGATTCCTTTGAGAAAATAAACTGGGTTATGCTATTCAGTCTCCTCCCATTTTGTTTATGAGAATAAATATAGGAAATTTTTTTTTTTTTTTGTAGGGCAAGGGAAGAGCAGAAACTTAGCAAAATGAAATCGATTCTGCCTTAAAAGCAAATTAGAAGAGTAGAAAAAAAGAGGTTGTTGTTGTTAAGTGCTCTGAAATGGTTTTCTGAGGAGTGGCTAATGGGCTTGAACCACTAACCTTGTGTTTAGTAGTCCAGTGCTTTCCTACAATGCCATACTAGAACTCCAGAAAGAGAAATTTTCACATCTAAATCCCGTTTTATTTATTTCTGCTCACACTTACTCGTTACTTAAAAAATTAAAAAAGAAGAATGCATAGTTTATTTTCATTATGAAATTCCGAGAAATCTCATGATTTTGTCTGCTGAGAATCTCCTATTTTTTTCCTTGCCCCATTTCTTGTTTACTTTCATTGGTCACGTTTTTCCTTGTAATCAAAGATTTATTATGTTTTGTCCTGTTTTTTAAAGAATGGGACAGGAAAATTCTGCTTTGCATCTTCATTCTGTTTTATTAACTTGGAAGTACCAAAGAACTGCAAAGGATCTGCAACAAGATCAGTATGGTTGAAATCTAGATGACTGGGGGATGGGGAAAGGATTGGGAGGGAGGCCTCTATAGGCTACATTAAGTCATTAAAGATTTTGTAAAGCAAGTTACTGGAATGAATAATCATGTTCCCCTCTAGAAGATCACCCAGCAGCTATATGTAGGACAAAAATAGAAATAAGGCATGTGTCCTTTGTTGTTGTTGGGGTTCCTGGTGTGGTACTACTGGATAAGTACTAGACTGTTCCTCAGAAACCATATAAGAGTTGCTCTAAGTCCACATGCGTAGATGCTGGGAAATGAGTTAGAAAGCTATGGCAGTGATCTAGGTGAGAGAGGACGGTGGCTTCTAGCCTATTATTCTAATTGACATCCATAATGATCTTGAGT